TTTTTTTTTTTTTTTTTTTTGGCTCAATCTCTCTATTTGAGATACAGTACCAGTCATCTTGGAGAGAAACATTATCACCCGAACACTCTCGAGGGACATCTGTAGCATCCTGGGATCCAGCAGAATTGCATCACCATCCAAGCAGGCCAAGACCAAACCTTTCACAGTGAGGCCCTTGAGCCACACACAAGGTCCCTGACTTACAGAGGGCAGATGGGGAGGCATGTGACAGAAAGAGTGGGCTTGCCACCCCTGTGTGTCCACCTGTGGTCTGTAAGAGACAGGTGCAGAGCCACACTGAAGAGCCCCAAAAAGCTTCTCATTCCAGTGTCTTGGAACCATGGTCCACCTGCTTGCCCCGCAGGCTGGTGCCCTTGGCAGTAAGGCCCGGGATGCCAGGATGGATTCCTCCTGCCTGCATGCCCCCAGCCTCTATGTGCCTGACTCAATGCAGAAACGGTGGAGGACAAACCTGGGATCTGCTCAACTGGCAGCTGGTAATAGCAGAGCTGGAGATGCTCGCTGAACAGGTAGGGAAAACAGAGGACCAGAGAGGAGGTGACTTGTAAGGCAGGCCTAATCTTGTGGATTACAAAAGTCTGCACTCCAAATATGGGAGGTCTGAACCTGTCTGTATTGGAAGAATCAATATAGATGGGTAGAAAAGGAAAGAGACTCTAAAACAGTTCTCTAAAAATACCTGCTATCATTAAAAGTATTAAAGGGTGGCACTACTCTCCTTTTATAACACTACCAACCTTATTTTGAGGTGAAAGAGAGCCACAAATGACTCTTTTCTGAAATACAGCAATGAAGGAAGGAAAATATAATGGATCTGAGGAATTTCCTGTTTGTCCAGGCTGGGCAAACAGCAGTTGCATCTGGGACTGCATGCTGGGATCCTCCCCTCATCAGTGTTCACTGCAGAGCAGGAAATTTTAAAGAAGACTCAGAACTGGAAAAAACACATTCATGGAGGGCACATAAATGACCACAAGATGGCCCTTGGAATGGAGCAAGAGGAGCTTTTCTTTCTCGCTCTCCTTAATAAGTTGTTTCAGAAAGATAAATCCCCAATGCAGGGTATTTCTCTCCAGTCTCTGAACCACCAGGCCTGTGTGGTCTTCTGGTATTTTCTACTTTGCAGCACTTGCAAGCTAATCCCGAGCTCCTGGGGCGGCCTGTCTTATCTCCTGCCTTAGCTGTGCAGCTCTTAGCCTTCTCAGGGGCGGCGCACTGGAACGGCACCTATCTTTTCGGAGCACAGCAGCATCTATGAGGTTTCTGGCCTCCCTCAGATGGGCAGCTAGTGCCAGAATGGGGGCTGGAGTCTCTGTCGCTGGCCACCAGGCGCCCCAATCAGGTCGCTGATTCTGTGTAGGCGCCAATGATCCCTAAGACTCAAGAGGCTGAACTCTGCAGAAAGGCATGTGAAGTGTGACAGCAGGCAGGCAGGAAGACACAGGGAGCCAGGGAGGAAAGGGGAGAGAGAGAGAGGGAGGGAAGAGCTCTCCTTTTCACATGATCATTTTCAGAAGCATCTTTTTTTTTTTCTTTTTTTCTGCCAAGACCCAACTGCAACAGGAACAGACCTGACCTGCGTGGCAGCAAAGAGGAACCTGATCCTTTCTGCAACTATTCTCTTTCCTGACAAGCCGGGCTGGCCGTACTTTATGAGATTTGCAAAAATAGATATATAATAGATATATATTTCCATAGGAAAACAACATCCGATGTCTTCCCCTATATGAAGGATGAAAAGTCAAACTGCATGTTCTTAAAAAAACAAAAAACACCATGGGATGAACAACATTATCTGGAAGGGTACGGGCAAGGAGTTACAGGTGGCGAGACTCCCAAGGGGACAGAAATGTGCCACTCCAGTCCTAGGCTCGTGCCCTCTGCCAGAGTCCAGCCCCGCCATTGCTGGGTGGTTTGTCTAAGGTGCTCCGGTCCATCCTGGCCTGCAAGGAAGCGCTCCTGCTGCTCTGGTCTCTTTCTGCAGCTGTCCCCAGCCCGCCTGCTCCCTCACGCCCCCGGCAGTCCTGGTGTGCAGGCTCCCTTGCCGCTGGCCTGCTGCCGAGGCGACCCTGGGTGCCCTCAGCACTCGTCTTCTTGGTATATTTGTTCATCCAGCTCCTGGGACTCAAGGTGCTCCAGACGGTCTGTTCGGCCACTCATGATTTCATCTGGGGTTTTCATAAACCTTGGGAAGAAGAAGTGGAGCCAAAGATTATACTGGAAGCAAAGGTGTCTTCACTCTGAAATGGAACCTATAAAGTCAGGCCCCCATCATATACCGTGGAGCTGGAGCACGGCTGAGCCCACACGTGAATGCTAACTTAGTGGATTAGCAGGAGGGACCCTCCCTCTAACTGCCTCAGAAGCGGCAAAATGACTGCACGAAGTCGGGGTGACTGGGAGGTAGAGAACATCCTTTGGAAGGCCGGGCATGGTGGCACATGTCTGTAATCCCAGCACTTGGGAGGCTGAGGCAGGAGGATCGCTGCAAGTTCGAGACCAGCCTGGGCTACATAGTGAGTTCCAGGTCAGTCTCAACTCCATACTGAGAACCTGTCTCAAAAAACCAGAAAAGAGAGAGAGAGAGAGAGAGACAGAGAGCACCCTTTGGAGCCACAGGCACATTACTACAGGACAGGACAGGAAGGTTCACTTAGTGGCTTCTTATTTTTAGACAGCTTAATTTTATAAACATCCATGAGCTATATATCCTTTTCCATTCTAGACCATCAGCCCAGGGAACGGATTTCAAAACATGAATTTAACTCAAAGAATACAAGTAAATGTTAAATGGGAAATTTTGACAATTGGGCAAGTTCGTGGAGCTTTTAGAAAATTAGGCAAAAAGGAAGAGAATCTTTTCTAGTCTTAGCCCTGACCCACCCAAAATGCTGTCCTTTGCAGGTGCACTGCACAGCGAGCCCCATCTTGCTCCATGGGCTCAGCTGGCTGTGAGCACGTTTCACCATAGTTCGCATGGCTCAGGAAGGCAGCCCGCCTGCCAAGGGTCTGTCCTGACTGTGGGGTTTCTGCTTTCGCTCCGCGTCCGAGCACCTTCCCTCTTCATGTGTTCTGATTTGCACCAGTGAACTAAACTGGAAATAGGCATTTTCTCTCCTATTCAAAAGCTAATGACAGTTCCATTCCATAGGTGGTGAACCTATGGCACGTGTGCCGCAGTGGGCTGTTTGTGTCATTGGAAGCTCTAAAAGGTTTGCCATCCCTGGCCTATGGCATATTAAGTCAAAGACACAATCTTGGGCCTGCCCACAGGGGTGTTCGATCAGGCTTGCCATAAACATTTATTGAAACCCTCCCTAAAGTATAAAGCAGTTACATAACATATAATCCTCTATCTTTGAGGAGCTTATGATCTAATTGTGGGGAGAAGGACTGCCCTTGTTCGACTGTTAAAAGCACAAATCATGGTGTGGTTATGGGGCAAGGGAATGCATGAGATGACAGAAGACCTCATAAAGGGTAACAGATCTGAAGTTGGCTGTCAAGACACTTGCCTGGAAAAATAATTATATTAGTGCTGTAGGGCTGCCAGAAGTGCATCCTGTAAAATCGGAAGGCAGAAGAGTGAACTAGGGACAGGAGAGTTTGAGCGAATCCTGATGTGGACCACTGAAGCACAGAAATCAGCTTCCACTGCCAAGGAAGCAATAGCAGTGATTTTGCCTTTGCTCTATCTTCCAAATCTCATGAAAGTGCTTACTGTTTGTAGACTCCAACCTGGGATGTTCTGGCAACAAATCCTGGGAAATGTAGTTGCCAGCCTTCTAGCCCCTGCAACACAGTCAACCAGCCAGTGGACGGTCCAGCATAATGCCTGCCAGGGACATAGGAGGAGCCACAAGGAACTCTAGTTTCAAGATCACTTAGGGCTGGGATTTAGCCCAGGGTGCCCCCGCCTGACTTGCAGGCGCAAGGTCCCGAGTCTGATCCCTGGTAATGGGGAAAACAAAACAAAACAAAACAAAAAACGCTTAACACAATAACAATGCCACCGATGAGTAATAAGAATTCTGGGTAGTTTTTAGTATGTGAAGAAGGGGCTGTCTTGAAGGTATCATGTACGAAATACTAATGTGATGTTTAAGTGTTTACTTCCTATAAGAATTTAAATTTAGAATCTCAGGGAGAATTTTAGAGCTGGATTTAAGAATATACCCACTGAGGTGAAAAATGAAGTTGTGTAATGAGATTAATTCATGTAGGAAAAAGAGTCAAATAGAAAAAACTGGGAACCAAGGACTAAGTTGAGAGAGAAGGGCGAAGAGAAAGCATCTATAGTGTCAGAGGCGAGGAGGTTCTTTTTTATTCACTCCATTGTTTCTCTTTCTTGGCTAGCCTTTTCTACTCCTAAGTTACCCCTCTGTCCCAGTGCCAACCTCCATGTTCTCTGTTCTTTCCAGTGAACACCATCGTCCCCATGAGCTGCTCTGCTCATTTCGGTGTCATTTTCTGCAGTGTCATTTTTAACTGATGTATAGAGTTCCAAATCCACATCTCTAGCCCATCCGTCACTCTTTTCTGTTTCATTTGCCAAAACCTATAACCTACAATTGTACTTGTTCCTCTCACCTTCCCCCAACCTGCACTTGGTCCCAGCACAAATGACTAATGGTGTCAGGGGTCCACTTTTGCCTTTCTTGAGGGGTCTATTAGATGTCGTCTTTTCTATTTCTTAGAATCACAATCTACATGATAGGTTAAATGGTTTGAGCTCATTAACTGTGGAAAATTATGGAAAGAAGAATATCCAGTGCGGTGGCTCTCATACTTTTCTGACTATGATGTATTGGAATACATTTTACATCATGAGTCACGCAGGTACACACACACACACACACCCTGAAACTAAATCTTCACGAATCATCTGTCACTCTTATTTTATGTGATATATTCTCATATTTTCTACTGTATTCTCTATTTTAAAAAAAAGTTGTGACCAACCCATTAAGTCTGTTTCATGAATCATTGTGGTCATTATCCAGTTTGACTAAAACTTCCGGAAAAGCTACAGAAAGTGGCTCCCAGGTTGGTGACCTGGAAGTCCAGGTTTAATTCCTTGTTTTGCCTTCGAAAATGACTACTCTCATCACTCTCTTAACTCCAGTGGACTTTGATGCCAGATACTATTTGGTTGTTGCATTATTTTATAAGTGAGTCAAATTGTGTTTGTTTAGTTTTGGTTTTTACTACAGGTCAGACGTAAGCAGAAAAAAAATTTTTAATCTTAACAAACCAGCACCTGGTATCAAATCTGTAGTATCTGCCATAATGGCTTTGCATTATCAGCTAGGCGGTAGAGATCGTGATAGTCTCCCTCCTCCCCCTTATTTAAAGAAAACAATATCCTCCCGAAAGAAGGAAAAGAGAAAAAGTAAGTGCTACCTGAACAAAAGCCTTTGTCCTGGCTCCTTCCTGATAATGTTTAGTTTGTAGTAGTGGCGCAAGGCTCTGGACATTTTCTCATAGGTCATGTTTGTTCTGTTCTGTTTGTTCAGAGGAGGAAGAGAGAAAAAAAGCACAAAGACACAATGAAATGAACCTCAGAAAAGGCACCGGGGCAGCTATTAAAACGAAAGCCCCTCCGCTGCCTCCCGTGGCCCTCCCACCCTGGGGATTCTACCTAAGGTGAAGCCCCCACCAGAAGGCTTAGTGCTCCAGCAGCACCCCCATTTCCTTCTCCCGAGGTTGCACTCTGCTGTGCCAAGTCGTTCCCTGCAAGTCCCCCATCTGTGGGGCAGCCTTCACCTCCTGACCCACACTGAATTTCCATTTTTGTTCCAGTGACCTTTCTCAAATGTGTTTCTGGTCTGTCATTTCAAGGAAGAGACTTTAGTTTTGAATGGTTTAGGTTCCTCAGTGACTTGCACTGAAGTGGCTGTCAGAGGGGCCTCTGTATTTGGTCATGGCCCACATCAGGTCCTCCTTCCCCGGCAGGGCTGGGCTGTGTCCCGTGCCCTCTCCAGTGGGGCCCCAGATCCGCCCGTCTGTCATCTGGCCTGCATCATGACCAACCACCTTCTCCATGTGCACATCTGAACAGTCTGCCTGACCCTAGAAGACTTGATGTTTTAAACTCCATTTCCTTCTTCTAGTCTCGAAAACTGTGGGGCCATCAAAATTCTTGTCCTGCGTGCTTGTAAAGGGGATGTTTTCTAGTCAGAACGTAAGTATTTTCCATGTAGAAATGGGAGTTTCCAAATGAGCAGGACAGAAGTGACAACTTCCCAAAGGTCCCCCATGAGTCACAAAGCTCGCAGCACTTCCCTGTAACCCAGTTCCTAATGACAGTGGGGTGGCAGGACCAGCTGGAGGGGAGTAGCAGAGCAGGACCCTTCCACCACAGCTGAGTGAATTGGGTACCTGGCAGAAGTAGGGCATGGACAGCAGCGTCGGTCTGTCTACCCAGTGAGGAATAAACTACATGACTGTGGGCAGACTTGGGAAGCTGAACGCTGACCCTTCGCTCCAGGGACAGAGACTTCCTGCTGGCACTGGTTTACAGGGCAAATATTCGGTGCCCTTTTACCTTGTGGTTTCCCCACAGCCGAGCCAGTCCATTGGGATCCACTATCCGGAAAATTTTGGATTCTTTGTCTTCCCATCGGATGAAGTTTTCGTACCGGCTGTCAGAAAGCAACTGATAGACGTAATCCCAAAGCAGTCTACAGTCTACAGGGGAAAAGGGAGGAAACACAGTGTTGAAAATATTTCTGACTGAGGCATTCACGACAAGAAGCCAGTCACTGCTCTTGCTTCATTTGAACGGGTGGTCAAACGTCCTCGTTTTTAAAGAAGGAAATGAAGGTCTGGGGAGAGGTGGTGAAATTGGGTTGGAGAAGTGTGACCTTTGACCTGAGAGGGCTTAGATTACGTCCAGGATGGCTGCTTCCTTCTACCGATGAGGACACAGTGACTCAGAAAGAGGAAGAGGCACGTCCATTGTCTGAGCAACACTTGGACTGAGCCCGTGTGTGAGAGAGGGAGCAGAGTGCTGCTTGTGCTTAACTTGGTTTTGACAGTGAAGCTATAAACACGCTGGAAGAAGGAAGGGTGCAGAGCAGGTCTCAGGTCCCAAGGAGCAGTGAACTAAAACTACTGGGGCTAAAAGACTGTCGTGGTGATGGCAAGATACTGAGGGGATGGAGAAGAGAAGACTGGGGAAGTCTAAAATGAAGAGGAGTGAGTCAAAAACTGGGGGAAAAGAAAAACTATGTGGCTTGGTGATGCTGACTGCGGGAACGGTGGCCAGCATGGTTTTACAAATGCTGATATTCTCATTATAACATACTTTGGAAGCCTTGAAAATTGTTTTATTATAATGGAATCAGAATAGAGAGCCCGGTCCAAAAAAAAAATCACTTTCTCCATTTGCAGAAATGATGTTTGATTGCGTGGTTGGGCAGCAAATATTTATTAAGTGATTTGGCATGGCCCTGGTAATGTGCTAAACCTAGGTTTTGGCTCTGGGGTGGTATATAAAGAAGACATCTAGCTGGGTGTGTGGGGGGCACAACTGGAACCCCAGAACTCAGGCGTTCGAGGCCGGCCTGGGTGACACAGTGAGGTCCTGTCACAACCAGCCATCCAGCTCACAGCTGATGTCCACCTTCCCCTTCCCTGCACAAGGGGTGATGGAAAATGCAGTGAATGTTTAAAAACCTTCAACAGGACACGTGTTCAAAGCATGAGTATTCTGCAGGGGTATGAATGGCAACGTCTCTTACTATAATAATAATTTTTAAAAATCTAAACATTAACCCTATGTTCACTTCTGTTTAGCTGACACTTGTCCTCGGAGAGGTTTCGAGAACTTGCCTGGGGTCCCCGAGCTCTTGCACTACACTGTGAGGTCTGGGCCTGACACCCCTGGGAAGGGAGCATCCCGCTGAGAAGTGGGTTGCCTTACAGCCGAGATGTTCACATCCCAGTGAAAGTAGGAGAATTCTGTCTGATAACTCCGGGCAGGTTTCTTAATCTCCCTGAGTCTATTTCCTCATTTATGAGAATCACAACACTTACTTGACAGGATTATTGTATCAGTGCGAATCCAAATGAAAAGAGAATAATAAAAGGTTCGTGGTATTTATTGGCGCTACTTGCAGGCACTGGCTGTGTACCTGTAAACATGGTGACACTTGTTATCCTGCCTAGGAGGCAGAGGCTGCTGCTGCTTTTGTTTCACAGACCAGGACGCTGGGGTGAGGAGGTCTGGTAATGTAGGCTCTGCAGGGCATAGCTGTGTGGGACACATGTTGGGTTCTAGGCTCTGTGTGACTCCAAGGCCTATGTGGTACTGTACCCCCTGCTGTGATTTCTACTCTCAGATAAACCAGTCAATGGGAATATACTTGTAAAATCTTAGCATTTTTTAGAGCAAAGTTGAACTTTGCTTGGTGCACCCTTTGCAGCATTTTCTCTGGCAGAAGGAACACATAATGGAGCATTTTTCAGCAAACTTAATTCTTCAAGGAACTACAAGCTTACGATGAGCCTAAATCTTGTGTGCATGTGATTTGTGTCTCAAAATGAATGTGAAGGCAGATTTGTTGCGTTTTGGAAAAAAAGACGAGTGATGTCCTTAAAACAGTGACATCCAGCCCTGGAGTTTGAATCCCTTTAGAAACTGGCCCACTGCTTCTGTTACCTTCCTAAGGCCACCTTCTTGATTGCCCATAGGAGGCTGCTGTGCATGGAGAGAGCCCAGGGGACCAACCCAAGCAACACACAGTCCCATGAGAGGCCAGTGTTACACAATTACAGGCAGAGTATTCTAGGTCATGTTTAAGGCGTCTGGAAGAGGATGGCCCTAGCTTCTTGGCAGAGCAGAGTGGGTAAAGTGTCCTTATGCCAAGAAGCTACTTCCTTGTTCTGTATCACTTTCTTTACAAACAGAAAATGGAGAACAGTGACGTTCTGAATGTTGCATCTCCCACCCCGATCTGTATGTTGAAATCCTAACCTCCAGGTGACAGCCCCATTCTTCAGAAGGTGATTAGGTCCTGGAGGCTCTACCCGCAAAAGTAGGGAGTACTGCTCTTCTCTAAGAGACCTCTCACCCTTCTGTCAGGTGTGGACGGACACACTAAGAGGGTGCCCGTCTCTGAACCAGAAAGTGAGGCTGCTTCAGTGATTCTAGACTCTGAGAAATGAATTTCTGTCACTTATAATTTACTCAGTTGATGCTGTTTTGTTATAGCAGCTTGAAGATAAAAAGTAAGCTGTAGTTCAACTGTCCAGTTTTGGTCCCATCAAATGGCAAATACACTTTAATTTTCATAATCTCTCCCAGCTGGAAAAATCTGACAAAACCAAATGCAATCGTATAAAATGTCGGTAAATTAGGAAGAAGGAAAGTGGGTTACAGATACCCGGCCTTGGTCTCCCAGTATGATTCCAATCACACTGCAAAGAGGCTGAGGACACCTTTGGATTCTTCCGAAATGGGAATGGGGTTCTCCAATGGGCTCAATACAAACTTTATTTACCATGTTCTAGAGAGCTACTATGGGCTGAAAGCAGACACTGCTGTTGCACAGAGGCTTCACCCCCATTTGTTTCATTCACGGTCATAACAAACAAACAAGCACCAACCCAGAAACAAAAAAACTCCCAGTAAAATGCCAACCAGACCATGTGGCCAGGTAAGGGCTCACTCGGCACTGGGGTACCAGCACAGACCCTGGATCTAGAATGGTATCTCTGGATTGCAAATGAAGGGCAGGGCTTAACAGAAAACAGACTTCACCTAGAAGCTTCAAGACCATTTGTATCTTGCGAACTTTTTCCTTTCCTAAGTTTGAAATTAACCCCAAACTAGTTTCCTGCTTATCACTTTAAGTGACATTCAACCTAGCAAAGCCAACACCAGCTGACTAATAAAAATTTATTGACAATTCAGGACATGTTGAATTATTTAGTCATTAATGGAGGTAGCAGCGGGAATTCTGTGACTCAGTTGTTTCAAGCTCAGTGTATAAGCGACTTTTAGAGTACTATTGATTGCTTTTAGTTAAAAGTTATGCCCAAATGATAAAAATAACTGCTTGACCACATTACCATTCCTCCTTTTTCAACAACTGAGACTAAATCTATGAGTTATTTTTGTTTTTAAGATTTCTATTAAATAAAAGGCACATCCTCAGTCCCTAGATTTTCTGGAATCTGTCATCAGAGTCCATCTAGAATCCTCCAGCTTTGTCAACAACCACGTTTGCACAGATGTGATGTTTTCTGATCAATAAAGAAAATGGTTAATACCATTCAATAAAAACATACCAAATTCTATAAACAAAAGTCCATCCCACCACAAGTGAACATGTATGTGTAAAATTTTTTATATCCCAAGGCACTGGTTAATTTTAATGTGGTTCCTTTAAACTAAAGGGCCTCCTTCTATACCAAGGCAGGTGAGTCTTTTAAAGAAACTGTCCATTACCTAGATCGACTCTTCCATGAGAGGAAGTTTCTGAAAGGATTTAGCTAGAATAAAATGCCACTTTCCCATTGTAGAAGGTGTTCTTTCTCCTTCCTACTGGGTAAGGTACCCTGAGCATCTGCTGCTAAAAGGCATTATAAAAAAAATCCTTCCTGTGGTTAAGGAGAAATATTTTCATTTTCACGTCTGTCTCCTCCCAGAGACTCATTGAGGAGAGACTAAAAAGATGGGCAATTCACACATAATCAACATGGTTCCTAAAGGGTGGAAAAAAACACACACACTAGACAAAACTAGTATTTAAAAATTTGGAGTAAGTTAAATTTCAGGACAAAGGGAATATATAAGAATGGTGGGTTAATGTAACCTTCATGAGAGTGTGTAAGGAAGTCATTTTATGTTGTTTTGCGGCCCCAGTGAAATTTTAAGGTCTATAAACCATCACACCATAGATGTAATTACCAACATGAAAGCCCTTAGGCCCCTACTTAATAAAAAAAAAAACTGAAAACCTAGAAATTGATAAACTTATTTCAAGCTCAGCAATGAAACAGGTAAGGTGATAAATAAGAAGTGTGACTGCTTTACCTCAGTGGCTCTAGCAGGGTGTGGCTGTGCTGTGAAGGAGGCAGGCAGCCAGGTCTGGTGAGGTTTAGGTCTTTGGCCCAGGGCAGAGGATTACAGTGCTGAACCCAGACAGCAGGCGTGCTGCAGTGGGGACTACTCACCCAAACACGGGTTTACAAGACGCAGGGGGCAGATGCCACACACTCATTTTTTTTCCTCCATTCTAGATCGGCTATTACCCAGAGCAGAAAGCTGCGAAATCCCAGACAGCCAGCTCTGGGTTAATATGCAGAGCTGTGTTTATAGAGGGCCGCTGGCCGTGTTTCACTGTGGCTTAGGAAAACAGAAAGCGCACACAGCACACATGGCGGGCTGTGGGGTGCAGACAGGGAACCCAGGGGGACCACGCTGCCCACAAGTGGAGCGGCCAGTCTCAGACTCCCACCCAGCTGAGAACCAAGCACCACGCCAGCCTCAGCTCTGCTCTGTCACCTGGGGATTCACATCCAGGGACCGCAGAGGGCTGGGGACACCGTGTACCAGACACATGTACCATTAAGCAAACTGGAATTTCCAGTCTCCTCTTACTTCCTGCCCAGCCAAGGTGCCGTTGCTCTTCTACCCTTTAAAAGCATTGTCTTGAAACTTCCGTTTCTTTAGGACTCTT